AAAGAAAATATCAACAATTCTCAATATAATACATAGTAATTATGCAGACTTTCTTGAAATGGAAATTTATTGCTATATATTTTGGATACTCTCTTACACTCTGCTGTGTGTAAAACATGCTTTTTTTTCCTACATACTTAAGTTTCAATATTTAAGTTTATAATACATTTCTTTTCTCTTTTCTTATTATGTATTTGAGTATTTTTTTTAAAGTATTTTTTAAAATTCTACAATGAAAAGTCCAGGAAATTAAATTCTAAAGAAATGAAAGTAAATAACTCAAACAAGGAAAAAAATGGGAGCTGTCTGAAGACAGCAATGTGGTTAGACAGAAATTCATCAAGCAATTCAGATTTTTTAAAGATACAAACAAAAGAGCAATGTGAAGGCAAGTAATAAATCATAAATATAAGTGTGGAATGATTCCATTTAAAAAAAGTCAGGAGTGTTTAATCTAAGATTACCAAGTGGTGGCAAGAGAACATCAACAAAGGGGGTTAGGTTTTTTCCTTCCTTTTTTAAACTGCATTAGAGAAAAGTGAAGAATGAGAAAAGGGATAGAACTGGTGTTTGAAGCAGATCAGATGATAAGTGGCAACAGAAAGAAGGCACAGCTGTTTAATTATTTTACCTCTGTTTTCTCTGGCAAGGCTAATAATTGAAAACACCAGAGCAAAAATGGGATAACAGTAACCAAGATAAGGAAGGAGATAGAAATAGAGTACCCAGTTTTCCTGGATGAACTCCAGTCATTTAATCCAGATGAACTATCTCCTCAGACACAGAAAGAACTGACAGATGTAACTGCTAAGTCACATTTAGTTTTGTCTGAAAGATCATGGAAAACAGAAGAGGTACCACTGAATTGGAGATGAGCAAATGTACCAGTTTTCAAAAGAAGACAAATGAAGAGAGTGAAAACTACAGGCCAGTTGAGTTTGACTTCAATTTGCTAGAAAATTCTAGAATGGATATTTAATGGAATGGTTAGTGAAATCTAGCAGGAGAGGTGTTGTTTACAAAGAACCATCATAGTTTCATAAAAGACAGGGCATGCAAATTAACTTCGTTTCTTTTTCTGACAGAGTTATTAACCCTGTTATAACCCTGGCACATCAGGTACAGTAGATTTTAGCAATGCATCACATAAAGAATTTCATACTATTTTTGGTAATATAAGAATATGGAAGTTGAACTGGTTGAAGGCCACACTCAAAGAGTAGTCCTCCAAGCCCAGAGAAACAGGCAAACGAACCCAGCACCGGGTTCTTTAACTTTTTATCAAGTCATGGTCCATTTCGCTGTCTGATGATGCCAATGGATATCTTCTCAGAATGTTTTTTAAATACATAAAATAAAATACAGAGGATTGCAAAAGAAACCAATTATTTTGAAATAGTTATTTTTTTTTAATTCACAAACCCCAGGTTAAAACCCCAGTCATAGTGACTGCCCACATTCCTAGGATGATGGCTCCAAGACTTCAAGGCAAAACCACTAAACATTCTAATTTATCTGTTAACCTCTACTATCCCAAAGGTTAGAAAAACTCCCACTAGCTATTACTTTTCTACCTAAGAATTAATTACTCCCAATAATCACTTCCACTGGTTCTCTGAGACCCATTTTCCTCAGCTCTATCACCTGAATGGCCCTCAGTGTCAGTTTGGGGGAGAAGTAAAGTGACCTGCCCACAGTCACAGCTAGTAAGTATCTGAGACAGGATTCAAATTCAGATCTTCCTGACACCAATTTTACCACTATATCACCTACCTGCCTCATATGCAAAAACCATTTTCCTCACCAAGCCATAGAAACTCTTTCTCCCTCTATACTTAGTGTGTATCTACTTTCTTTTCTCTCATTTATCTCTCAATCTTTTACACTCTGGTCTCCAACCTTGTCACTCATCAGAAAATGCTCACTCCAAAGTTACCAAAGTTTCCTTAACTGCCTAATCTAATGATCTTTCACAGTCCCCATAGTTCTTGCCTTCTTTGCAGCATTTGACACTGACTACCACGAATTAACCACCACACTCTAACTTGCTTCTCTTACTTACTGATACTTCTCCTTTGCGGTTCATAATCCATATTTTCCCCTGTGTATAGGGCAACAAGGTGGCACAGTAAATAGAGTACCACGCCTGGAGTCAGAAGACCAGAGGTAAAATTGGGCCTCAAACACATTATACACTTTGGCCTCAAACACAAACTGGGCAAGTTACTTACTCCTGTTTGCCTCAGTTTCTTCATGAATAAAATGAGCTGGAGAAGGAAATGGTATACCATTCCAATATCTTTGTCAAGGCAACCCCAAAAAGGGTCACAAAGAGTCAGATATGACTGAAATGACTGAACAAAAATAATGACAGGTATTTGGAGAAATTAATTTGAATAATGAAATCACATTACTTATAGACAGACAAAACATTTATTAAGGGCTTACTATATAACAGGCACTATGCTAAGTGCCAAAGATTCAGACACAAAGTGACAGGACTGTTCTTGCCCTCAATGAGCTTACAGCCTATCTTTGAGTCTAACATGACTGAAAAACAACTGAACAACAACTGGGTTTACTCCAAGACTATCCTGGTCACTCTTCTCTTACTATATTTGTTCATTTGGTGACCTCATCAGAACCCATAGGTTTTATTATCTTTGTTTATATTACTACAAGCTATATATATCCTGCCCCATTTTCTTCCCTCAACTTCAGTCCATATCACCAATTACCTGTTCAACATTTCAAAGTGAATGAACTGTAGGCATTTCAAACTCAATACATCTACAAAAGAACTCATTATTTTAAGTGCCACAATGATGGGTTGTTTTGTTTGTTTGTTTTAAATCTGAAAAGAAACTTGCTTAAGTAGCAGGGCAGAGAGAGAGAGAGAGAGAGAGAGAGAGAGAGAGAGAGAGAGAGAGAGAGAGAGAGAGAGACAGCAAGTGTCAGGCAAGTGAAACTATCACCATCACCAATACCTTGCTCCCTACTTCTACTCAGAGATGATGGAGATAGTCCCAGACCCTGATCCCCAAAGACTCGGGAATAGCAGTGACTCCCAGCAACCAGATTTGATTTCATCCCAGCCTTCACAGACACCATTGAGGGGAAAATACATTTTGGAGAAGGGGATCCACCCTGGATCTGTCACAAATCCAGAGCAGACAGAGGAAGGGACCTACACCTACGGGTGGTGGGCCCTATCCTGTGCATCCAATAAGGAGCACATTCAGAAGCAAGCAGTAGCTATGTGGCTCTGACACCAAGAGTAAAGCAAGGTCTCCTTTCCAGAGTCTAACCTAATCTGAAGCTTGCAGAAGAATAAATTGGCATGAATCTCAACCCAAAGGAAAGTTTACAGTTCTTTCTCTCTGAACAAGCAGAGCCTTCTAACTAACTGATAATAGCTGAATCCAGACCCAAACTCAGATCAGAAATTTGCGGAGATGAAACTACGGTGGCAGAAATCAGACTTTACTCTGGACCAGACCACTTTGAGAGCACTGAAAGCTTGCTGATTCCCAGCCAGAGCTGCCTCTGAAGGCATGAAACAACACAATACTCAATAACTCAAGAAAGTAGCAGCATGAACAGCTCAGACATTCCCTCCAGAAGTGCGCGGAGTCTGGATCTAACATAAAGTCCAAAGTAAGAAAGCAGGCTAGAAAATGAGCAAATGAAAAAAGAATCCTATGAAAAGTTATTATGGAGACAAGAATGATCAAGATACAAAACCAGAAGAAGCAATGACTCAACATTATCTACAAAGAAAGCTTCAAAGATAAACACAGCTGGAGCACAAATTCAACTTGAATTCCTAGAACTCTTGCTTCAGCATGAGTTTTAGAAAGAACTTAAAAAATTATTTCATAAATGAAATGAAAGCATTAGAGGAAAAAATGGAAAAAGAAATGAGCTATGGAACATTTGAAAAAGGAATTAACAGACTGGCACAAGAGGTATCCAAGTAACAAACTTGCACAAGAGATACCCTAATAACAAACTGTCTGAAAATTAGAATAGACCTAATAGAACCCAATAACTCCATAAGAAAATGAGAATTTTTAAAATAAAGTCAAAAGACTGAAAAGAAATGCCACACCTCCACAGTTCCACACCAGCAGAACATCAAAACGGTATTAATAACTTTGAGGTGGCAACTTCAAAGTTTTACCAATAATTGAGATAATTTGTACATGTTAATGAACTAACCCCAAGGTAGCACAGATAAGAATTTGTTCCCTTTAAAACTCTATAAAAATGAGACCTCAAACTCCTGACCCTCCACGCACTCTTCTACCTCCATCCCTGGCTCTAATCCATGGTTATGTGAGTGATAATCTCTGCTTCGTCTTCTCTCCATCCTCTTCCCCAAGCTACCTGTCTTCTTTCACCATCCCATCCCCTACCCCTATGACATCAGATTCTGTACCTCTTTCAGCATTTGTCTTTGTCTTTATGAAGTTTTTTTGCCCCTGTACTCTCTGTATTTAATTAAATTGTGATTTCCTCCCTGTTTCCTGCTGCCAAATGTGTTTTTCCTGGCGAGTACCCAAAGAACCAGGCATGCCTGTCCCCACTCCATAATTTGATAAATTAATTATCAATTCACTATTCCTGCAGAATTTTACAAAGAGCAAAACCTAAGCTTTTCTATTTTCTGATTCAACTCTGAGTTTTGAATTAAATGCTGGCTAAAGAGTTGAACTCTTTATCAGTCCTCTACACTTCCTTCTACTCTTTGGTCAATCAGCTATTTTTGTTTGTTATGTTTAAATGCAAGTAGGGAAGGTCATTACCTAGTTTATAGGATTAGGCAGCAATAATATCCCAAGCAAAGACAATGGCCCTGCCTAAACCTTGGTGCTCTATTCTGTCTCCTGAGCTATAAAAGGTCAAGCACTGGTACCATAACTGATATTTGTAAGAACTATAAAATTCTACGATGAAATAAATTATTTAATTTTAAAAATAAATCATTAAAAACTTACTGCAGCACTACAGCCAGGGAAATTGAAAAAAGTATCAGGCCCATGTCTCTGTGGCATCTGATTAAGGACTGACAATAATTTAACTGCATGTCTTGGCTGAGGAAACAATAAAATAGAAGAACTGTCAGTGTACCCATACAGTAATAATATCTTACATGCCACGTTAGCCAAAAGACCATTTTCCAACTAAACAGTATATTAATTTTAAATCAGTTGCTAAAATTTCTTTTAGAGAAACATTCAATTAACATTAAAAATTTAAGTTTATAACTCTCTAGAGACAATTTATTGAACCACAAGCACTAATGTACTGATACTTAAAACTTCTCTATCTCATTACAGCTTACCCAGATTCCACTTTCTCCTCGAAGCATGCTGAACAAAAGCTTCAACTCCTTGACAGTGATGCTGTAGCTTGCAAGAACCCCCAACATATCAACTAGGAGATCTTCAAAGGAAAATAAAGTTATTCTGAACTTTAGTTGCAACCCAGAATTAGTCAAAGCAATATTTTTATAAAAGAGAAAATATGTTCATTAAAAAGTTTCATTAACAAACCAGAACATGAATACCTATAAATATCCATTATAACAACATAGTCATTTATTGAATAGCCACCCTAATAAATAGCAGAAGCACAGGTAACATAGGCATCAAGTAATAATTTATTATGAATAATATTTTTTCATTACAAATTATGTCTAAAAGTGCTTCTAGAAGACTAATATTAACATTGTCCTTTCTGAGCATATACCAACAATTATAGGAAGAAATAGATTAGAATATTTTTGGTAACAGGGTTTTAACATTTAACCTGAACTAAGAATTAATGATGCCACATGCACAACTTCCTTTCTAAAGTAATGATATGCTCTAAACATTTTGTCTTGGTACAATCTGATTTCTTCACTTCCAAAAGTCACAAAAATACACGACTAATTACATCCATGAAGTTCCTTTAAATATATAGTATATATCATAAGGTCACCAAATAATGAAAAAAAATTACACATTTATTGTATTACCTTTTTTATTGTACTTTATTTTATATGCACATAAACAAACTTCGAAAAGCTGCTGGTAACGCTCAATTAGATTAAACAATAAATATTTTCTAAAATCTTTCCCAGCAATCATATCTCTTCATGTATAATTTGGGGGCATGTTAATATGTATGTTTACTATGTATGTAAAAGGCTCAAAGCTCTGAATTGTTTCATATTTAACCATCCTCATATCAACAAATAATTGACCCTTAAATGAATACATACAAAGCACATATTATTTGAGAAGGGACAATGAATAAGGAAATTTTAATGGCATAATGAATGAGTTTCTACAAGGTTTAATCTTTCACAATGCAAGTGAAATAATCAGAATTAGCAGTTGAGTGTTCATCCCCTGAGCCATTCAAATAATACAATCTGGAGTCTTTTGTTGAAGTACCTTAAAGATCATGGCTAATGTGACATAGTATTAACCAATGCATTTGGACTAATGAGACAGGTGGGTTTTGAAATCTTCTTCCTAAAGTTGTACGACTTGACAAGCACTACAAAAATGTTGTAAATGTGAAGGGTAGCAAATGAGTAGTTACTGAAAATTTTAATTTCATTTTAAAATAGGAATCAATTTACACAATATAGAAACGGAATTTGTAAAAAGAAAAAAAATTTCCCCAAATTCAGGAAATCAATACTTTTAAAGAAACTGAACTTCTGTCTCCTCTCCTAAGGATGTCACACACCAAGTGAATTACTATTGCTATTACATTTATTTATTACATTTATCAGTTAAAATATATTTGTTAACAAACATTTTAAAAGAACACTGAATGGGATAGAGCAGTTAGAAGGTCTAGGTTTGAGTTCAAGCTCTCAATACAATATCTGTGTGACGTAATATTTGGACAAATCTTTTAATCTCTCTGAGTCTCAATTTTGTTATATCACAGGGTTGTTGTGAGTAAAGCACTTAGTAAGTCATAAAGCATTATATAAATGCTAGTTACTATTTCCTTCCCATTTCAGTGTCTACAACACAGTTAACAATTTGATACAGAAAAAAACAAGAAGAATTTTTTGGGGGGTGAGAAATGAGAAAGGTAAATAAATCAACAACCTTTATGATATAGTATTAAACCACATCATAGTATGAACTTTTATACTGCTATCAATTTAACCTCAAAAAGGAAGAGTCTCTTAAACATTAATTAAGCAGCAATGACCTAAAAAGCATGCTATTCTACCTCAATGCTTACTCTATGCTCTTTGAAAAGAGAAAACATATTTCAAAACTAAACTTTTGTTTGCAAAGATCAAATGATATCATGTAAAACCTGCAAAAATGCCACTTCACATGCAAGAACTCTTCTATGACAACTGCTAGAATATCCTGAGAACAAGTGCCATGTCTTCTTTTCATCAAATAATTGTTTTATTTGGTATTTAACTGGTATTAGCCACTCTTTTAGCTTGATCAATCAATGATCAATATAAAAAAGGAGATATTTTTAATCATCCTAAACACAAGTATGTATATCTGCTTGAAAGAAACCAGAAAAGTCAGTTAACTATTAATAAGATAAAAACTTTCTTGAGTAAAATGAACTTTTTAATTAAAACAACTCAGCATTTTCTTATTTTTCCTATCAAATATTATGTTTTCCAAATGTATAATCTCCTTATGAAATAGATTAAAATCACAAGGGAAAATGGAATTATACAACCTAGACCTGATGTACAAAATATTATTTATACCCAATTTCCAAAAAGGATTTGCAGAGATTTAAAAATCTAAAATGTTATATAAAACAATTTTAAATTACAATTTAAACAAACAAAATATAAATGTAAAAGAAGATAAGCATCAGGTTCTTCCATACTGGGAAATGAAAAGAGATTACAAAATTATTATTCTTCTTCTATGACAGAATTTCACTAGATTACCATAAGGAAAGGATACAGAAGAAGAATCCTTACCATTTATTAATAATTGTTTTTAGTTCCATGGATCATTAACAAAGCCTGAAACTGGTAATAAGAGAGCCATATATATGTACTTTCAAGCTTTTATGGCAGTCATTCAATGTAAAAAAATTACCTGTCTGATCAGTTCTCAGTCTCCTTGGCTGGATCATCCTCATTTGTATGGCAAGACTTTTTTCCCCCCTTTGAACCTCATGGTTATCTTCTCAAGGGCCCTGGAAACCCGTTCTCTCTCTACACCCTCTTGGTGACCTTACCGATTCTCTTGAATTCAATATCACTACAGAGTTAACTTCTAGACCTATACAAAGCTCTACTCTATTTCCTTAATTCCAGTCCCATATTACCAACTGCCTACTATACATATCCAGAAGACATCTTATAGGCATTTCAAACTCAAACATATTTAAAAGAAGTCATTACCCACCCACCCCAAAAAAAATCTCTCTTTGGAACTTCCCCATTTCTATTGAAGGCACCATAATCCCTCAAGTCAATAAGGTTCTCAATTTCAGAGTCATTCTCAACTCCTTGCTCTAACTTCACCCCATATATTCAAGCAAATTGCTCAGTCTTGTCAAATCTTTCTCCCTGTATTTCTCATAGATGTCCCTCTCCACTGACACAGCCATCACCCCAGTTCAGGTCCAGGTCTCACCCCAAGTATTACAATGGTTTCCTGATTGGTCTCCCTGACTCAACATCTCCATCTCTCCCATCTGTCCTCCACACAGCTACTAAAGTGTTATTTATAAAGCCAGCACTCCCCTATTCAAACTCCAGTGGCTCCTGCAGGATCAAATATCAACTACTCTTTTTGGCATTCAAAAACTTGCAAAACCTATTTCCAAATTCAAGACCTCTTAAACACTATGTTCTAGCCAAAGTCACCTTCTTGTAGTTCCTTACATATGACATTCCATCTCCAGTATCTGTGTCTTCGCACAAGTTGTTTCCCCATGTCTACAACCCTCTCCCTCTTAGAATCTCTCTAGTTTCTTTCCTTCAAAGAAGATCAGACACTACCCATGGTCTTTCTTAGACCCACAGCCTCTAGTGCCTCCAACCTTGTATTTCTTTTGTACATATTTTGTGAAGATATGTGAACATGTCGTCTCCATGATAAAACAGAAGTTTCATGAGAGTAGAGACTACTTCATTTTTGCTTTATATCCCTAGTGCTTAGCACTGTGTCTGGAACACAGAAAATACCTAAGAAATGGTTGATGACTGCTTATATTGAAGAAATAAGACAGTAATTTCCAAAAGGATTCTACTAAATATCTAGAAGTTTGGTAAATATTCATTGTTATAAAACAATTGTGTGTTATAAGATTCAATGCTATTAAAAACACACTGAAATAATTATAGTTAGGCTGAGAATTTTCTAGAAGCTTGGTAAATATTCGTTGTTATAAAACAATTACATGTTATAAGATTCAATTCCATTAAAAACACACTGAAATAATAACTCTGTTGCAAAAAATTTTTAGTTTTCTATCTGATCAGAACAAAATTAGCCAACACTGATATAATGCCTTAAGGTTTACCAATTATTTCAACTGCATTTTTTCATTTGATCTTCACAACAACCCTATGAAGTTATATATATATATATGATATAAATTATACATATATGATATAAATTTTTTTTATATATATATGAAATCCCCATTTTGTGGATGTATGACTTGCACATGATCACATGACTACTAAGTACAAGAGGAAGGATTGAAAGCCAGATCTCTCCTAACTCCAAGTCCAACATTCTTTCCACTGAACCACCCTAACTCTCAACTGTATGTTGTATATATTGAATATTGAGAAGCAGGTTGGTGGACTGGGAAATTATAATACTGAGACCAAAAAAAACTGGAATAGAAAAATATCATATGTGTTCTTAACTAAGTAGCATCAACAATTCACTTATCTCCACCAAATTATTCAAAATCTAATGAAGAATATGCTTTCAACTTCATGATTTCCTTTTAAAAATAAAATATAAATATTGTTCCATATATTTCAGATGAATCTGCTTAATTTCAAGTAGCAAACCTATTGTGTTTGAATCTTTATGAGTATAAAATTATACATTTCTCATGTAACTCGTACCTGCAATCATGTCATCTACAGTACTCATTTTCAGCAATACTTGCTCAATTAAGCCAACTTCAGTGCTGGTCTGCAAATTACGGACGCTTTTTCGTAGAATGGCAGTAAACATGCTCCAAATTTCTGCTTGACATGTTACATCACAATGCTCCAAAAGCTCTGACATGCATGTTATACTCTCAGCATCCTGGATTATAAAGTTCATCTCCAAATCGAATTCCCCACCAACAAGCTGAAAAGAAAAATAAAAACCATTACTCATAATATATAAAATCTAATATTACTTCGAAAAATATCATAGATCATAGAAATAGACTGAGAACTAGAAGGAACCTCAGAGGTCATCTAGTACAACCCCCTAATTTTACAGAGACAAAAACATGGCAGAGTCACGATTTGGACATCAGTCTTTCAAATCCTGGACCCGTCCTACTATACCATGCTTAATACCCTATTATAAGAAAGTATAAAAATTCATATAGTTCATATGCAAACAGCAAGCGCCTATCATGTTTGTTGAAGGGGATATGAACTTCAGATACATTTCCAGTCCCTAAGGGGAGGGACATATATTAGTCTAATATAAATATAAACATCAAAATGTAACGACTCCCTCCATCCCAAAAAAGCTACATGATTTTTAAAAGTTTTATATGTCTTACAATCTGCAGGAAGGTTCAGTTTAATACCACAATAGCCATAAAACTATTAAAATTTAATAGAAAATAAATTATAAAAACTGTCACTGGATAATGCAATATCTCCAGAAATATGACTATTCTGTAGTTTCTACTTTTTCTATTGTAGTAAAATCAAACAAATGGATATTTCAAAGCCATAGGTACAAATGAACTGAGACTGAAACAGAAAACATGAACAGAACAGAAAAGGGGAATAGAGCACTCTTTCAATAAGCTGAGTCCACTTTTTAAAAAACTTCTCTTGCTTCTCTGCCTTGTTCTCTGACCACTTATCAGTCTCCTTTTACTAGATCATCATACTTATGAATGCACCTGAAGACTTTTATCTAGATCCTCTATTCTCTCTATACTATCTCTCTTGGTGACCCATCAGGTATCAACAGTACCTGAACAAGAATCTCCTTTATAATATATCTGACAAGTGGGTATCTATCTTCTCCTGGAAGGCCTCAAGTAAGAAGGAACCAACTACCTTCAGAAGTAGCCTACTTCACTCTAGAACAGCCCCTATCACCAGGAAGTTTCTCTAGATTCCTAAAATTTTCTCTCCACAATGTCTATTCATTGCTCCTCATTGTGTCTTTTCAAGCCATGTATTTGTTTATTTATTTGTTTGGTTTTTGGTGAGGCAATTGGGGTTAAGTGACTTGCACAGGGTCACACAGCTAGCAAGTATCAAGTGTTTGATCTGAGGCTGCATTTGAACTCAGGTCCTCCTGACTTCAGGGCTGGTGCTCTATCCACTGTGCCACCTAGCTGCCCCCCAAGCCATGTATAATACCAAGTCTAATTTCATTCCCCATGACAGCTTACCAAACAAACTGGAAAGACAGACATCACATCCATTCTCATCTCCTGGCTAAATATCCCAGTTCCCTCAAGCTGTCCTAATGTATTAGTAAGGAACGTGAGGCACTTTAGCACATTAGTTGCCCCACTGCAGATGTTATTTGGCCTATCAGCATGCCTCCCAAAATGGGCATTCAAAACCGAATACAACACTGAAGATGTAGACTGAGACATTTTCCTCATCTGTAAAATGAGAGTGTTGAATTAGATGGCCCTCTAAGGTCCCTGGAAAATCAATCTCTTTAACTCTTTTCAATTCCCCTGAGACAGTTCCAAGCATTATAATCACAAGTTCAAGAATCCTGATGTACCCCAAATCAAACAAAGTAAGAACTGAAAGAATAGTACGCAATTCTCAAGACTCCTAGAGATCTCTTAACCATCTTATTTTAACCTCACAATGCCCATATTATAAGTTTATTGGTTATGTATCAACATCAAAATTTTACTATTGGTTCTCTATTCTATTATGTTTCACAGGGGAATGGTTGATAAAGAGTATTTTTTTTCCTCAAACACCATATTGATCACATTATTCTGTTACTCAAGAATCTAAAGCAGCTGTTTATTTCCTACCATAACAAATCTAAACCCTTTTGTTTGACCTACATTTCCCCTCAATATTTCTTATCTCACCAAAACCACTCTCATTATTCTGTGCTATGGATTCCCTGATTCTACCAACTTGATCTGCCTGTCACAAATGATTTTTTCATTTCCATAACTGTGCATTTGCCATCCATACTATTTAAAAATTCCTATTTCTTTTTTTATTTCGCTTTACAATCACAGCAAGCTTTCTCCCTGATAAGCTTCATTTCAATATAACTACTCCCTTTCTCAGCATCCCCTCCTCACACAGACTCTATTTGTACTATACTAATTTGTACTCACTTTATATATTCCTTTTAATAAAAACAAAATTCAATAAGTATTTACCAAGGGCCTAACCTTTTGTAGGGTACTGTGCTGTCAGAGAAAGAAATCTAGCTAAGACCCAATCATTGCCCCTACCTTGGGTAAGTCTAATAATGGAATAATGATAATACCTGTAATTTGTATGCAAAATTATTTGCAAACACCTTTATCTGCTAAGACACAAACATGTAATTATAATACAGAGAATTATATGAGCATATTCAAGAGTAGAGAAAAAATTACGTGAGACTTGAAGGGAAATTATAAATCTAGGAAGATCCCATTACTTATTACATCATACAAAATCCACCATGTTCTCTACTGTGCCTCCTAACTGCCTCCCAACAGACAGAAATTGTTAAGTTAAAAAGAGGAAAGAGAAAAGCTTAATTTTGGATAAGTCTGAGGTACTCACTAATACCAATAACAAAAATGTCCTAAAGACAGCTAAAGATATATGTATGAAACTTAGAATTGATGTTAGGGCTATAAACATAGCATTTGGGAATCAATCATACAATGATAACTGAAAACAAAGGAATAGATGAGATTGCCAAAGGAGAAAATAAGAAAGAAAGAAAGAAAGAAAGAAAGAAAGAAAGAAAGAAAGAAAGAAAGAAAGAAAGAAAGAAAGAAAGAAAGAAAGAAAGAAAGAAAGAAAGAAAGAAAGAAAGAGAGAAAGAAAGAGAGAAAGAAAGAAAGAAAGAAGAAGAAAGAAAGAAAGAAAGAAAGAAAGAAAGAAAGAAAGAAAGAAAGAAAGAAAGAAAGAAGAAAGAAAGAAAGAAAGGAAGGAAGGAAGGAAGAAAGAAGAAAGAAAGAAAGGAAGGAAGGAAGAAGCGTAAGACCAAATGGAGAATCTTTAGTCACACCCAGAGACTAAAGAATCAAAAAAAAAACAGTGAAAAAGAAAAAGAAAGGGGCAGCTAGGTGGCACAGCGGATAGAGCTCTGGTCTTGGAGTCAGGAGGACCTGAGTTCAAATCTGGACTCAGATACTTGATACTTACTAGCTGTGTGACCCTGGGCAAATCACTTAATTCCAATTGCAAAACGAAGGACAGAAGGATGGAAGGACGGAAGGAAGGAAGGAAGGAAGGAAGGAAGGAAGGAAGGAAGGAAGGAAGGAAGGAAGGAAGGAAGGAAGGAAGGAAGGAAGGAAGGAAGGAAGGAAGGAAGGAAGGAAGGAAGGAAGTACAAGCACAGAAAAAGCATAAGCAGAGATGTAAAAGAACCAAGAAAGTGGTATGTCTGTAAATGCAAAGAGAGACTATTCAATAGGATAAGTTGGCCAATCATATCAAAAAGCCACTAAAAGGTAAAAGAGGATCACTACCCCTCCCCCTCTCCAAAAAATGGCAACTGTATTTGATAGTGAGGTAGACACTGAAGATCTTTGGGATATGAATTCCATAAAAGTGAAGCTATAATGTGATATGGAAACTAAGTAATGGTCAATGAAGACATAGAAATATTAGATAAGATACAGAAAACTTTTTAATTAAGTTTAGCACTGAAAGGGAAAAGCAAAATGGAACAGAAGCAGGATTGCACAGATGGGGAGTCACTTAGTGCTCGCTCTCTCGCGCGCTCGCGCTCTCTCTCTCTCTCTCTCTCTCTCTCTCTCTCTCTCTCTCTCTCTCTCTCTCTCCCTTCTCCCCAACTCCATGTTAGTATTTTTCTTCTCCTAAATTTTACCTGTACTATACTTATGTAGGAGTATAGTACTTCTCCCGAGTAGAATACAAACTATTTAAGGACAGGGACTGTTTTATTGAGTTTTTTCTTAACACCTATCACAGTGCCAACAGCACAAAGTGGATACTTAAACAATGTTTTTTGAATTGAACTGAGGTGGCAAAAGGATTGATACATGAGAAGCAGGTAATCATCTTCCGTAACCAGAGGAAAGAAAAAACAGGTCATGAGGTTGACAAACTATGAAGATGAAGGCTGATGGAACTCACATAAGATGAGCTCAGGTTTTCCAGAGAGAAAAGAGACATCTCTAGGTACTCACTGGCTATGTAACCAGTCACTAAGCCTCTTTGAGCAGTAGTTCCTTCATCTATAAATGAGGATAGTAATGCCTATATTACCAACCTCAGAGTTATTGTGAAAATCCAATGAGATAATAGATATAAAGAGCTTTGTAAACCTTAAAGTCACATATGGGTCAGCTATCTACAATTAGGACAGGTAATGACGCCATGACTGGGGAAGAGGGGAGAAGGTGAGGTTTGAAAACACTGTCAAGTTTGCTGGCAAAGGCACAGATAAGACTGGACACCCTAAATCTGTAGGAGGTAAAATCACCTCAATTTCACAATGGCGCATAATATCCTTGGAATAGAAGCAGAGAAAAAGTACAGCAGAAGTTACTCAGGGATGAAAATTCACAGGTCCATAATGGCAGGTTGGGAAGTATCAAGGAACTGTAGCAGTAAAAATCTATGAATGTGGCAGATCAAGAGGACAACATCACTTTGTAATCCTAAATTAAATCTTATTTCTGTATATACTGCATGCCAAATAGAATAAAATTCTAAGTGAGACTTCCAGGTCATGTGAAAAACAAGATGGCCCAACTACAAGTTTTCTCTGATCATCACAACCATTCAAACCCCTCCAAAATAGAAATTATGAGCCAAAGATAAAGCAATTTTCAACTGTTTCCATGGTCTAGCATACCAGAATCCAAAGGAAGGTTAAACTGCCTTTCTTTAACTTGGAGACTGAATGAATTCTTTCAGTACACTAGGACCTGCACATCTATTACTCATCATTTCAGGGTAGCACTCCAACATTCTTGGAGTCCACCCTGAACTCATCACCAATGGCCAAGAGAATGTCATCTAAGCGAATTCTTTCACACTTGAACCACTCTCCTAAATCTGACCTCAGTACTCACTAGAAATGGAGGAAATTGAATAATGTATTCTGAAGAGTACTGGAGCACAGGACGCAGCCCAACGTGACCTATCCTACAAATCTGAGCTCAACAAAAAATGGATGTTCAATAATAAAGAAGAGATTAAGACATTTTTAGAAAGAAAAACAGGACTTACATGATTTCTCCCCAAACAAAAGAAATCCAGGAGCAGCAACAGAATGACAACAGAAAGACCAGTGAGATATTTCTTTCTAAAGCAACACAAGGAGACAGGGGTAAAGGTGAAAATGTGATTAAGGTAACAGTGAGAAGGGCCACAGGGGGCATTATGGAGAGAACCTGGTCACATACTGCCTACAGAAAAATGCTTCTTTGGTGGGACTACATTTTAACATGAGAGGGTACATGAAAGGGGGTGAGAGGACCATGGGATTAGAGAGGAATAAGTGACACTCGAGGGTCAAATCAAGACTTTACAATGAGGGGGAAGGTGACCTCTGTGATCTCAAAAATAGAAAAGACTACAGAGTAGTAGGTGAGGAACAGGGGGAAAAAAGTTAAAAAGGGGAAAAGGAAGGACTTACTTTGGAAGTAGAAGGGAATTCCACTGATAAATGTTCCTATGGGTAAAGTAAGATGAGGACCTTACTGTGGATAAGACCTGAGGGATTTGGAACCTGAAAATTCTACTTGTCCAGGAATGGGAGGAGGGAGTTGGAATCCCTAGAGGCAACTGGCACTTGGAGGAGTAGGAGAGCATGGACACAGGGAGGAGATTTCAAATAAATGCAGAAGAAAAAAAAAAGAGAGAAAGGGTACAGATGGCAAATGTGGAGAGAAAAAGTGTCCTACCACGAAGCAGGACACCTGAAATAACTGGCATAATAAATAACATAATAAATAACTACGAATGAGGCACAACAGAAAAGGGGAACAGATGGAATAAGCCCTACAAGGAAGTGGGAGGAAGTGGCTAGAGGGCAAAGCCTACAGTGGATTCCTTAGAAGCTTTGATTTTATGAAGAATACAGAGAAAAGAGAGAAAAGATTACCGGAGTGATGAATCAGATAGAATGAGTGAACAGAGTAAACAAAAAAGAGAAGATGAATAGTGAAGAGAGTAAGAAGTCCTTTTGGAAAGGGGAGAAAAAATAAAATTTAAAAACTAACGAACAGGACTAGCTGAAGGAGAAAAGAGCAAGGGGAATCTACTTGACTAAGAGGAAAAAAGTGAGGGGAAAAATAGATAACTAGAAAAAAGCAGAAGAAAGGAACTAATATACAAAACCCTTAAGGAAAGGGGACAACAAATGACAAGAGGGGATCAGGAGTGGGGAGAAGAAAGCCAGTAAGAACAGGGCCACATT